ACTTGTGGGGGTGGGGAGAGACAAACTGAGATCAGGGAGGGCCCCAAGCTCCCATCCACTCACATCCTAGGCTGACCCAGATAGGCATCTACAAGATAGGTTCAGCCCGAGGCCTGTGTTCCTGGTGATAAGTAGGTGGGTCAGGACCATGACATACCATGACTCTAGCATTGGCTGTGTGCGTGGCTGGCTTCACAAGTTCTTGAGGTTCAAGATAGTATCTATGTTTAAAATCTGGGCAAAAAGAAAGCATCCAGTTGTCAGAGCCAGAGCAACAGTGGGCACACATAGTGACTGCACACAGAGGCCTTGGCTACAGGGCCATACCTCCCTTAAAGTTTTAGGTCATGTGGGCTCAAGAAAACCCTTTGTAGGTACTAAGACCATTAAGCTGCTCCTAGCAGCTGGGCAGCACACCTATGGAATAAAATCAGCCAAAGACAGAGCCCCAGTGCTAACTGGTCTGCAGGTTTTGTTTGGTGGAATCAATGCTGTTTATTTATTTATTTTTATTTTTATTTTTTTGTGTCGAAACTGGGGATTGAACTCAGGCCCTTGAGCTTGCCAGAGAAGCGCTTATTCCACTGAGCCATCTCCCCGACCCCATCAATGCTGTTTATTCAGGAAATCAAAGTTATAATTCTATACACCCAAATCATTGTTTAAACCACCCCAGATTCTTATAGTGCACAATTGGTCATTCATTTTTGCTAAAAAATTTTAAATTGTTAAAAATAAATAGTTGGGAACAAAAATAAATGGTTGGTTAAAAAATAAAATCAATTAAAGAAAAAACATTTCATTGACTTTTCAAATGCTAATGTGGGTGGCCTCTAGTAGGACAGCTACCAAGGTGAAAGGTCACTGCCCCAACATATTTTAAAAGACTACTTAAAATTCTTTTAATTCCTAATAAGTTTGATTGCTTGTTTTGCTGTCATAAATCAAAAATGGCATTAAAAACAGGGCTTTGATATTTTACAAAAAACATAAAGGTTTAAAATAATGTATAAAAACTATGGGTTTAAACAGTCACATGAGGGGCCAGGGAGATGGCTCAGTAGAGTAAGCGCTTGCCTGACAAGTGCAAGGGCCTGAGTTCAATCCCTGGTTCCGCCAAAAAACAAAAACAAAAACAGTTGCTTGATTTGACATCCCATTTAAATAATAAAAGGCCTAATGGTGGCCTCCAAAGGCCACTGTATGATCAAAATTCTGTTAAAGCAAAGGGGAATCAATCCTGCCAACTTCACTTGTCAATATATAGTATTAAATTTTTATACTTTTACAGCAACAAAACAACAAACCAGGTAAGAGAAAAAAAAGCCAAAAAGGGTCTTTTGAAGAGATCTCCATATTGGACAATGAAAGGGTCTCAGTCCACAACTAACCTGGGGTAAGGGGTATGTATGCTGGTGTTTTTCCAGAGAATGCTAACCGACCTATTTGGGTACCAGAGAGTACTGTCAGGCTGTACTATGGAGCCAGATCTAAGGAAAAAGTTAACAGTGACCAGGCTAGATCCAGCCTGGGGCCTATTCAAGGAACTGATCAAATGGAAATATGAGGTCTAAATACGTGATAAAATATGTAAAAATAATTAAGTTAAATTTTGTCAATATTGACAAAAATACAAAATATACACATTACCACCGCCATGCTCCCGCTCCCCTCATCTGCTGAGCCTCCACGCTAAGGTTCAACAGTCAACATGCCCTCCCAAATGGAACACGCCATGGAAACCATGATGTTTACATTTCACAAATTTGCTGGGGACAAGTGCTACTTAACAAAGGAGGACCTGAGAGTACTCATGGAAAAGGAGTTCCCTGGATTTTTGGAAAATCAAAAAGACCCTCTGGCTTTGGACAAAATCATGAAGGACCTGGACCACTGCCGAGATGGCAAAGTGGGCTTCCAGAGCTTCTTTTCACTAATTGCAGGCCTCACCATTGCGTGCAATGATTACTTTGTAGTACACATGAAGCAGAAGGGAAAGAAGTAGGCGGCGTGAACATTTACTCCTGCCCTGATGAGAGTTCTCCCAAAGGGCCGTTTAAGGAATCTGCCCCTCGGTTGCCCCTTGTATAAAGATGTCATGAGCAGATCAGGACCCTTAGATAATGTACAAATAACATCCAGCTCTCACTGGACAGAGGGTGGAAGGTTCATTAAATGCTACATAAGCTTTTGATTTTTGTATTTGCATCCTCTTGCCCTCAATAAAGTCTTTTTTTAGTTCCAAATCTGAAAAAACAAACAAACAAACAAACAAAAACCAGAAACAAACAAACAAACAAAAAAACCCAAAATATACACATTACTTATAGATAAAAGATTTCATTTCTTCCAAGTTTTTCTAATAAGAGATCTCTACTAATTGACAAATAACAAAATCTTGACTAGTCTACTTGTAAAATTTTTAAAAATTGTAATAGAGTTACTATAATTTAATTTGGCCAAATATTTGAGTGCACTCTTGATTTTATAAGGGGTTTATGTGTCTGTGTGTCTATGTGTTTGTGTGTCTTTCAATGAACAGCTGTTCCTTTTTTAAAAAAAAAAATTTGTGATTTGTTCTAAATATAATTTGAGATATAGAGTTAAAAGCATGCTTTTTCCTGAATTACCAGATAGTTAAGTGATATTAAAATTGATTTATACACAATACATCATAAGATTAAGCTAATTAAACAAAAATTCCCTAGAGTAGAATTATTAGAGAAGAGTCCAACTGATGAATAATTGTCTCAGGAGACACCCTCAATAAATAATAGGTAATTGGTTAAAAGATAAAGTTTTTTTAAAAAAATGTTACAATAAGGTTTTCTCTTTAAGGATGGTTTTGGTACAAAACTAGGTTAAAAAACAAAGGTCTTCATATGAGTATGACAATTCACTATTGTTAATCTCCTGGTATATTAAGTGTTTTTATGATTCTAGGTATACAGGTCTTTCAAAATGTAAAACAAAGATTGCTTGTTGGGACAAGACTTTTTCTCAAATTCAAACTTCTGCCTTTTACAGAAAACTTGTGAGCTATGTCTAATTTAAGGGTGACTAGGTAAAAAAAAAATTGTGTATTAAATAGAGATGATTCTGGCTGGAACCATGGAGGGTGCAGAAGAGAAGAAGGAGGCTCCTGCTGTGCCAGAAACCCTTATGAAAAGGGAAAACATTTCGCAGAGCTAAAGATAAAGTGCCTGAGAAAGAAGTTTGCCCAGAAGACGCTTCGTAAGGTGAGGAGGAAGCTCATCTATGAAAAAGCCAGGCACTATCATAAGGAGTACGGATGTACAGAACTGAGATCTGAATGGCAAGGATGGTGAGAAAAGCTGGCAACTTCTATGTCCCTGCAGAGCCCAAACTGGCATTTGTCATCTGGATCAGGGGTACCAATAATGTGAGCCCAAAGGTCTGCAAGGTGTTGCAGCTTCTTGCCTTCACCACATCTTCAATGGTACCTTCGTTAAGCTCAACAAAAAAGTAAGTCTACTACAATTTTAAAACTATTTCCTTCCTATAGAATTATTATAAAAGGTATTCTAGAGAATTTTTGTTTTCTCTATTTCAGAAACAGTTCTTTATGACATCAAGCAATGCTTTAAATGGCAAACCATTCAGACTAAATCAGACCTCAGGACATGTAAAAAGCACTTCTGGGCAGCACTGAGGACATGACCCCATTGTCAGTGAAGGTGCACACTGGGGCCTAATTATATAATGATGACTTAGCAGTGGACAGCTATTCATGTAGTATGAGGCCAGCATTTAAGAATGTAAATAGGTAATAACACCTGTCTAAAAAAATACAATAAAGGGGCTAGGGAGATAGCTCTGTAGAATAAGCACTTGCCTGGCAAGCACAAGGGCCTGAGTTCAATCCCCAGTTCCGCATAAATAAATAAATAAATAAATAAATAAAAATAAAAAATAAAAAAATGCAATAAAGATGCAGGTGGCTCTTGGGCTCTGTTCTGCTCCATGCTGAATGCTATTATTGCTGATGTCTTGCACATGTGCATTCTTTAAACTTTCTTGCCGCCTCCACCCTGCACGTTTCTGACACTGTGGTAACTCTATACTCACAAGTGCATAAAGCGTGTAGAACTGCAGCACAGCTCCTATTTTACCATGAGTCCCCATGATCATGCAGATCATTCATGACTGTTTCCCGACTTTCCTTGTGTTGCTCAGGCTCTCCCACTGAACTATACCTGCATCCCACTCCCTCATCCCCCATGTTGGGAGCAGGGAAGAAGCACAAGGAAGGGTCAGTGACTCAGCTTTCCCTGCTCTCTACAGGTCTGCGCCTGTCACTCAGCTTCACAGAAGCAAAGATGCATCTGCCAGTGGAGGAAGGAGAAGAAGCTGTGAGACAGGGTCAGAAAGCAGTGCCTGACTGCAAGCATCATGTCAAAGGGAGAGACCTGGCAGGATGCATGTGTGACCTTTGCACAAAGGAAGCTCAGATTCTAAGTTAGTAGCTTAACCACTTGCCCTTAAAACTGAACACATTATTTAAAGATCACAGTTTGTACTCATGCTTCTGTAACAAAAAATTTAAAAAATTTAAAGTCTATAAAGTATTGTCACTAAATAAGAACAGTTCTTACATCTTATGATTGCTAAATCTAAATTGTGTTTAAGTATGAAAGTGGTGTAAAAACAAGGCAGGAGATGAAGGTGTGTCAGCCTGGATGGAGCCATCTGGCAAGACTTCCTTCCTGAAAAGCCTTAACCAGGATGCAGGGCAGAAGCTTCCAAGCTGAACAGAGGCCAAACCCAGCCCTGCACTAGGTGCAGAACTTTGAACAGCAACATGCTGAACCTGGCACATGATATCAGTCTGCTGAGATGGGAACCTGATACCAATCTTCTAGTGTGTGTTTAGGTGAGACCACCTGGATCAACTGTCCAAGAACAAAAGGATGGCAGGCATTGGCTTTGGCATCACTGTCCTCTTGTTCTTGTAGTGGCCCATTCTGCTTGTAGGACATGTGAACTCTTTTTCCTTCCAAGCACCTGTTTCTCCTTTCCTCTTATTTTTTGTACTTCTTTTCCCCTTCCTCCTACTTGTGCCCTAAAGTAAGTGTTAAATTTTCACATCATCAATTGTCCTGACAGAACCATTCAATGGAAAACACTGGTGGTCTCTACAACAGCTGATAACAACAAGGCCATAAGTAGGGCATTCTTTTCCATGGGGTTGTCACCTGCCAACATACCTCTCCAGTCCCCCAGCCATGACAAATTCAAGTAAATATTTGCAGCTGTGGGAATCAAAACCCAGGAGCTTATGTTTTTCAGTCAGGTGCTTATGCCACTGAGCTATATCCCGGGATCCAGGTAATAGTTTTTTTAAGGTCAAGTAACAAAAGAAAAAGTAGGTAAACTGGAGTCCATTAAATTTTAAAACCCAGAGCTAGGGATGTAACTCAATGGTAGATCACTTATCAAGCATGTACTAGGTCTTGTACATCCCCAGTACTGAAAAAAATTTAAAAACTTCAGTGTGCACTTCAAAGGATACTATAAAGAAAGTAAAAGGAGGGCTGGCCAAATAGCTCAGTGGATTAAAGCACCTGCAAGCAGGGGCAGGTGCAGGTGCAGGGGGTTCAATGCCCGGGCCTGCTGTGCCCACCCCACCCCCAGCATGCTGAGCTGGCAGTTGAGACTGGTGGCACACCTTTTTTTTTTTTTTTTCTCTGAATACCTTCAGGGCAGGTTTGGCTGGTTTGAGGGGATCGAACCACAGCGACCTGAGCCTGACTGCTTTGTTGAAGCAGCCACTTAAAGAACTGAGCTAAGGGGCAGGCCCCCTAGTGGCGCACCTTTAATCCCAGCTCTTGGGAGGCTGTAACCAGGCGGATCACTTTGAGTCCCTAACCCTAAGTAAAAAGGTACTCAGACTGCTAGTTTCTTGTCTAGCATGTAAAAATTGAAAAGTCATCCTAACAAGAGAAAAATTTGACAAAAGAAATCAACAACTCTTTTTAGATCTAGAGGAGAGATAAGATCATAAAGCAAACTGCTGCCCCATAAGTTGGAGAAGGCCGGGGAGATGGCTCAGTGGATTAAGCGCTTCCCTGGCAAGTGCAAGGGCCTGAGTTCAATCCCTGGTTCTGCCAAAAAACAGAACAAAACAAAAATAATAATAATAATAATAATAATAATAATAAGTTGGAGAGAGACAAGGAGGCAGAGAATCACTACTTCCTCACTACCTCCCTACTGAACTAGAGAAACCCAAGACTGGAAAACTTGGTGGTACAATTTCACCTAAGGTTTCAGTAGAGCCCAGCTATTCCAGTGTAAGAGAACAAGCCTCTTTTAGTCCTCACTGGTGATTCTGTCCCACTGGAGGGGGAAGACAGGAACTGGGATGTAGAGGCTCATTAAAAGACAGGGTGGCTCACAATTGTAATCCTAGCACTCTGGGAAGTTGAGGCATGAAGACCGCAAGTTTGTGCCTAGCCACAAGACCCTGTCTCAAAAAAAAAAAAAAAAAAAAAAGATCTGGGATATAGTTCAATGTGAAGATTGTGGATTAAGGCTCCATTACTGCAAAACAAACAAATAGCACTTAAGACAAAGATGAGAAGTTCCCTTTGTTCTTAAATCTGACTACTCCATAGTAGGTCTCTTGTTCAATAGAGGAGACAAGACCAAAAACCCTAAAGGAAAAACTTAGCTTCTGATATCTCTAGCTGTAGCATATAATAAGAACAGCCAACCTCTGAGCAAGATTGAAAGGGAGGGCTGGTGAGATGGCTCAGTGGTCTAAAGCACCTACTTAGAACAAGCTTAGCAAAGCACAGGGACTGCGGTTCAATCCCCCAGCACCACATGCTGGCCGGCCCCGCCCCCTGGTGGGCTGAGCTGGCCACACACACACAAAAATAAATAAATAAAATAAATAAATTAAAAAAAAAAAGATTGAAAGGGAAAAACTGTACAAGAGAAACTGTTCTTTATAAAACTTTGTTCTTTTGAAACTACCTAGCTTCATAACTGCTTCATGGTTTTGTAATTACTTTCTTGACCCCTGTAATCATGACAGTGTGACCAAACATACAAGATGCATGCTTGTGCCATTGTATTAAGCTTCATAAACTGATGACCATTAATCTAACCTTGTAACCAATAATCTCATCCTGCTAGCTAATGAGAAGAACTTCCAGACTATTGTCTCACCTTTGTACCTCCTGCTTGTGCATCACATAAACTCCCTAGACCACCAGAG